GAGGGGATATGATAGGGAGGAGCTATATTAGAGAGGGGCTGTTTAGATGTGGGGCTTATCAGAAGGGGAGGGTTATTAGAGAAAGAGGCTATTAGGAAAGGGGCTCACTAGACAGGGAGGTTTGCGGAGACGTATATGTTTGAAAAAAAATTTAGCAGAAGAAATTAAAATTTCTCAAACACCCCTTCCAGAAAAATAATGCTTCGAAGTTGTTTAAAGATTGCAGTTGGTTAACATGCGTGGATTGAAAGTTGTAACCTAAGCGCCATAAAATTACATCGAAATGTGGAAGTAAAATTGCCGATGTCAGCTCAACGGGATTTCGTTTTAATTAAAACCGCGTTCTGGAACTAGCGTAAGTGAGAAGTTCGTTCTTTCCACGTGCGCCCCGGGCTTTCTTGTACATAAAATCCTTGTTGTGAAACGAGCGCACGTGGAAAGATCGTTCATTTCATGTGCGCCCACAGGACGTTGAAAAGACCAGCCAAGTGGAACTACAAAGATAAAACGTAACTCTGGGACTCGGACTGAATGTACTAATATTCCAGTTGTGCATGTTTTCTTTCTTTAGGTCACAACAACCACATTCGCTGCATCACACACTTCCCCACAGGAGCAGCGTTTGTCTCGTGTCCCGACGATTTTGGAGCGAGGTTTTGGTACTAGGAGGGAGTACAGAGAATTCCTCCACCGACTGCATTGGAAGTTTAGAATTCGTGTCTTTTACGCCGATCTTTAACACAAATATAAAGCTACAGTTACAACCTCAATTTCTCCCTAAATCGTCTCAGAGTTTCAGCCCTTTAGGTGCTTTACCTGTCATTCTATATTGGTTAAACTCGTTTGGCTCTATTTAATCTGTGAGACAAAAAATATAATCTAACGCCTTTTCTCTTTTATTGTTTTATTTATGATTACTCTTAGAGCAATTTTCAATTAAGTGCCGAATGTAATCCGGGATTGTTTTGTTTTCGCATTATTTCACTTTGTGATTGGTCCAGGTCTCCTAATCTCTCAACCAATCAGATGCAAAACTAAAGCCAATTACGACTTGGTCGCTCGCGTTTTCCCGCGCTTTTTGTAAAACCTTTTAAGGAGAAAAGATATGGATCACAAGAACATTTTCTCTTCTTCTCACTGGTCGTTGTTATTACTTTGGTTTTGGTTTTATGACTCTCGATTGAAAAGCGCTCTACGGCTTTTACCATTATTATTGTTAGTATTATATTACTGTTTAGGTTCAATAAATGAACAAATACGTTCACCTTTCGCCCTTTAACGCCTTGATAAGATTTACATGTGAATTCTCCATACAAAACTATCTACACGATACCTATCTGGTAACAAATCAGAGTACAAAACTTATCAATGTGGGAGCGATTTCTTTTTTTTATGTTTCCTGACATAATACCGAACTGATTTTCCTTATCAATTTAGAGAGAAAATTATGTAAGCTGGTAACGAGAATTAAGAATCAAATCTTAGGAAAATAAAAAGGTCAATCACTTTGCGTGACCTCAAGTGAAAAGAAACAATTCCATAATTTTCGCAACGTGAAAAATTCA